GGCCCAGCCAGTGACAGCCATAGCTGCTCCTGGTAGTTACATGGGGAGCGCTGGTGTTTGGGAGGAAGAAAGAGAGGGCAGTGATGAGAAGTGGACCTTAGCTGATGATGGGTGAGGATCACACATAACGTGACCAGTCTCTGAGGCATCGTTGGGCAAGCAGATGACAGGATGAGAGGGGAGAGAGAAGAGAGAAGAGAGTAAAGTACGATAGAGAATATATATATATATATATATATATATATGCATAATATAGATTAATATTATATAGTAAGTAGGGATCCAAAGTAGTATGGCTGGTTACAACGTAAGGGAACTGTAGAGCCGTTGTTGTATTGATGATTGGAGGTGAGTCATTATGCTTTCTTGTTTAAAAAACTTCAGCACATTTCTTTACTCTTTTTTTTTTTCTTTTTCTTTTTCTGGACAAAGCTCCAATCTATTCGTGGGGAGCAGCACGTGCTGGCAACCGCGCCCAGCGTCCCATATGAAAAATTTACAGATGGTTTGGAAGTATGGCTAAAGAACAAGAGCGTAGGCAAAATTCAGAAAACGACTCAGAAACCCCCCATCAATCCTCTTTACCTCACTCCGGCAAGACTTATACTGCAGTAGCGCCACCACCTTCGTTGCTGCTGTAACCTATTTCCATCCTACGAGCTAGCCCCCTCACTAGTAGGACGCTTGATATCCCACCACCATCTACTTCTCCCACTCACCTCGATTTTTGACCGGCATCGTTTTTTTGGAACACCCAAGCACCCCAGAATTGCTCCTTCCCCTGGGTCCCTCCAGCTCCCTCTGGGACTTCAATTTCCTTACCACATCATGCACATGCCCCCGCAGAACTGGGTTCCCCCTCCCTCCTTCCCCACCCTAATTACCTCTTCCCCCGGTTAACTGCCATTTCGTCAAAATGGACATCTTTTATTTTTTGAACGAAATTGAAACCGAGTTTTTTGCAAAAACTCGTAAAAAATTGCTGTTCCTGAGGGTCCGGCGTTCCCTCAGCAAATTTTTACGAGTTTTCGGCCAAAAAACTCATTTTCAATTTCGTTAAAAAAATAAAAAATGTCCATTTTGACGAAATGGTCGTTGGTTCACTCCAGCTCCCTCAGGGACTTGCAATTTCTTTACCACATCACACACATGCCCCCGCAGCCTCCAGGTTGTTGTGGAGGTGGGATGCTAGACGTATGACAGTCACCCCCCGGTAGTCGACCATTTGGTTACTCAGATGGTCTGTAGGGATCCCTGTTCCTTATGAGACTCCCACCCGACCTTCCACTCTCATTATTTCTCCCTGGCGCATCCCTACTCCCACAATCTTACCTCAGTGTTTATCACTCAGGATTATCACCCTCCACTCATCTCGGCGGGGGTAACCTGACCGGACAGCTGTTGTAGGCACCAGGGCTAAGCAGGGTCTGCCCAGCGCAGCCGTGATTGAAGCATATAGTCGGATGAGCGCTGTCGTACGGAGACTTTGAGCCCTAGGCTTAGACGTTCTGCTACAAGTCCCATAGGTGGACCCATGCCTGCTCCCCAAGCCTTTTTTTTGGGGGGGTAAGTACCTTATGTCACCTTTCGAGTATCCAATGGGCAAAGAAAACCGCACAGAGTTCGAAAAGGCAACGGAAGTACCAACGGCCGTAATGTCAGACCGGATGCCATATGTACAGGGGTCGGCCGTGGTGTCAGAGGGGAAAAAAAAAAGAAAAAACTTCAAAAAAGAAAATGCCGAACGGGTACTTTTGGACCAAAATCGCAGCATTTCGAGTTCAAAGGGGAAAAAAAAAAGAAAAAACTTCAAAAAAGAAAATGCCAAACGGGTACTTTTGGACCAAAATCGCAGCATTTCGAGTTCAAATTGGTGCGTGGTATCTTTGCTGGCACGAGCTTTTTTTTCCCCTTAGGGTTTCAAAACATGGCGCGTCCGCCGTTATTTCCTTTTTTTTTGTTCATTGTTCTGCTTGTGCCTTGTTGTATATGTACCGCTGTTACTGTCATTGCACGTAGAGGTTCTAGCCTATTATCAGTACTAGGTGTATGGCCACCATCTCCCCCTCTTACCTATGGACGCCCTCCTAGACCCCTCTCTGGTGACATTGTTGTGGTTGTGCTAATGTTATTCTGATCGTTGTTTAGTGTAATCCATCTGGAGGTACCCTAGTCTCTGTCATTGGCGGGTCTACGGCCACCATCTGTCTGTCCCCTTACCTCAGTCATCAACTAGACCCTCCAGCCTCTATATTGTAAGTTGTCGTCACCCAGAGCAGCCCCAGTTTCCATCACCAGTACATACTACTGTCTTCACCCGAAGAGATTATCGCCGTATCTGGGCTGAAAGTTGTGCCAAATACAGCTATAACGACCGGGCGTTCTATTCGGGTGAAGACGGTAGGCCACCACCCGTTCCTCTTACGTCCTTCATCAACTAGGCCTACTCTGGTCTATTTGTCAATGTAGGAAGCAGGCTATCCCACCATTATATATCCCTAAGACAGCCCCTACCACAAGATCCCCCCAGAGTCCGCGTCCAGAGCAGCACCGGTCTCAGTCATTGGTACGTACTAGGCCACCATCCGTTCCTTTTACCTCCGTCATCGACTGGGCCTATTCTGGTTTATCCCCCCCTACCTCAGGACTCTTCTACCTAATTCCCACCCCCCTATCATCCCACCTGCGGCCCCGAGCCCCCCCAAAGCAAGGCCCTAAGGTAACCAACTCATGTGATCAATCTCACCCCAATATCCCTGCCTGCATCCCAACTACCTCTGTGCAAACATGCTCCGCCTGGCCTGATCAGATTCAAACCCTCAACCTCTTCTATACAGTCCCTAGCTCAAACCCACTGAGCTACAATGGCAACTACCTTCTTCCCCGGAATACAACGTACGGTCATTATAGCTGTATTTAGACTATGTTTCAGTCTAAATACAGCTATAATGACCGTGCGTTGTATTCGGGAGAAGAAGGTAGTCTGTTTGTGCATTGTACTAGACTGGGGGAGACAAGTGCATAAACAGACGTCAGAACAACCCATAGACCAAGAACATCAGGCAGACCTCTCATAATAGCCTAAACCCCAGCATACAACAACCATGGACTGAAACCCTTGGGTGGGTGGTACAGGCAGTGCCTGTAGTCCTCGATACCATTGTGTGCAATGGCTATAGAACGCCGGAGTCCATGCGCAGCGCTGCAGAGTTTCGAACCCACAACCTCAACCCACAATACGCATTTCCAACCAGTTATCTTCCCACTGAGCTAAAGGCCATTCACTGTCCGGTGTGCCCATTGACTTGTCAACCTGCTTTCAACTTTTTTTTTTTTTTTTTTTTTTTTAAACTATACTCTTCTCTCAATTTTTTCCTCACACTACCTACCTACCACTACTCCTACCTATAGGCATACGGG